AAAAAAAAAAAAACTCTTAAAGGGACAGTTCACCCAAAAATAAACATTCTGTCATAATTTACTCATCCTCCACCTGTTCCTAACCTGTATGAGTTTCTTTCTTCTGTTGAAACAGAAGATATTTTGTAGAATGTTGGTAACCATACAGTTGATGGTAGCCATTGACTTCCACAGTATTTTTTCCATACTATGTAAGTCAATGGCTACCGTCAACTGTTTGGTTACCAGGGGCGCGGCTACTTTTTCTGGGCCCCCTGAACAGCGTATCCACCTGGGGTGGTTGGGGGTGGTTGGGGGAGGGGGGGTCCCCCCTCGGGCCATCGTCGGGCCCTTGGAATTGTCCTTAAAAAAATGTTATGCGACTCATTTAGAACTGCAAAGCTTTTCACACACCCAGCGTTTCCACCATTTCGGTCTTTTCAGAAGTAAAAACAAGTGTTGTGTTGAATACCACACATTTATGCATGTTCTTCACGATTTGTAAAATACGGATGCTATTATTCGTACTATAGAGTTGTATGTTAGTGTAAACATTGCTTTCATGCGTGTGTAACAGGACATCCACAGAAAGCGTCAGGAGAAGGATTTATCTGAGCTTCAGTCTCTGATCGAGGCTCATTTCATCCAGAGGAAGAAAGATGAAGAGGAGCTGATCGCTCTGGTCAACAGAATCGTAAGTCCTGGAAGAACGATCTAATCCAGAACCGGGTCAGACAGCTTTAAGTGCTAAATAACTTGTGATTGACAGTGTTGTATCTGTGCAGGAGAAGCGTCGCACTGAGAGGGCGGAGCAGCAGAGAATCCGTACGGAGAAGGAGAAAGAGAGACAAGCCCGTCTGGCTGTGAGTGACATTCGCTTCAGCCAATAGGGAGCAGCCGTTTACCTCCATAATACTGAGTGCTAGCATTGAAATGTAGTGAAACTCTTTCAATCGTCCCTCTTCAGGAAGAAAAAGAGAGAAGAGAGCAAGAGGAACAGAGGAAGAAGCTAGATGAAGATGCTAAGAAGAAGAAAGTGCTTACTAACATGACACACCAGTACGGAGGAATCCAGCAGAAGGTTTGAATTAAGAGATTTCTAGAACTAGAAACATATGTTATTAGTATACCATCATGCATTAGGGAATACATTTTCTTTTATAAAGCTACCGCAGCAGTACCAAGTTAGTTAACCAAACACTATCGATCTTGTCTTGCAGGGCGAGGGGCGCAAGGGGGCGAAGAAACAGACGGAGAGAGAGAAGAAGAAGAAGATCCTGGCGGAGAGGAGGAAGCCAATCAACATCGATCACCTGTCTGAAGATAAACTGAAGTAAGTCACCACCGAACATGATCTCATCAGTCAGATCAGCTGGTTGTGTGGAAATGGCCACTGACGAAGCTTCTGATTGGTTCTCGCAGAGAGAAGGCCAGTGAGCTCTGGCAGTGGATGATGCAGCTGGAGGCCGAGAAGTTCGACCTCAGCGAGAAACTGAAGAGACAGAAATATGACGTAAGTGCTGACATAAAAAAACAACAAAATAACAGATTTGAATCACTGTCGATATGAATTTTGTATATTGTATTTTTGTTGCAAATAGACGTAGATTATAAAATGTTATTTAAAATTTTTTGATAGTTCGACATAACATAAATCACTTAAAGTCAACATGAAATCAAGTTAATATATTCACATATATTTCATTCACATTTTCGGTGTTACTGTGAACAATTAATTGGTTTTCCACCCAAAAATGGAAAAAAACCCAAACAATTCAACAGATTCCCACTATTTTTTTTTTGTAAGGTAAAAGTCCTACCTTATATTTTTATTTTACATTAAATATCTGTTGTTAAATATCTAATCATATTTACGAGTTGAATGCACACGAATATCACCACAAAATCGTAATGTAAAAGTGTAAAAACTTGGATTTTCTTTCAATCTTATTTAAATTATATTTAAAATAATAATAATAATCACTTGTACAAATGTGCAATATATCAGTATTATACAATTACATTAAAATATATAACAATTCAATTTACAGCACCTTCTGAAATTGGATAAAAAACTTTTTCATTTTTGTATGCAGAAACACTGTGCATTTACTAATAACTTTATTAATCATTTTATATATGTACAGTTAAGAAATGTTGTTGAATTTTATGCAGAAAAGATGCATCGCCATCTTGCTCTGACCAAAGTTATCTGAATGCAGCTGATGCACATGACAACTCATGGTCTTGAATGCACCAGTATATGCACATTACGGAATTAAAATAATTAGTGAATCATCTTAATTTAAAAAAACTTAAGTCTGTAAAATAGTTCCCACTTGGGCACTGTGAAAAAGGCGTCCATGGCCTGCCTGTCTAAAACTCTGACTTGCTTCCAGATGAATGTTCTCCAGACCCGAATCAATGAGCAACAAAAGTTGTAAGTAACCGGCTGTGAGGGCGGCCACCTCACTTGCTATGTAGCCTGCTGTCAGTAACTGTTGTCGGTCAGATTTGTGTCGGGTCTGGGCTCTCGATCGGTCGCCGCCGTGGGTGAAGGGAGGTGGCGTGCTTGTGGCTGTAATCAGGCAGCAGACGTCTGCGAAACGACAGGTTTCCCCATCAGCTGGTCATGTTGAAATTGTCTTTTGTGCTTAGCAAGACTTCCGTATGTGTCCCTTACAGGTCACTCAGCTACTGGCTAGAGTCAGAGATCACCAGAGGTAAGTACCCTGAGCCTCACTGGTCACTTTCCCCTGGTTTCAACGAGGTCTGGGTGAGAGGAAGGAAGCAGAGGAAGTGTTGCTCTTAAGCAGAGCAAGACAAAGCCGTTTTGGTTTGATCTGCTCAACAGACCCTGCTCCTTTCAGATCCCAGGCCCGATGAAACCGCACGATCTTGACCGGAGCGAGGTTGGAGCATGTGGTCCAGCTCAATCCCAGCGTCAAATGGGGAAACGTTTAGGATTTTTACACTCAATCCTAATAGGACCAGTTCAAGTGGCTCCTTCAGTACTTTATTGTCATCACCAACACATACAATACATGAATTTGTCCACATAAACTGACAGAAACATTCATAAATGCAGATAAATACATATGAATTATTAGAAATGTTCACCCAAAAATCCAAGATGTAGATGAGTTTGTTTGTTCATCAGAACAGATTT